AATTATCTCGATCATTCTCTTTGTTCTTAATTAATCTATTTGTACATTCATCAATTTCTATCTTTTAATCGTTCGTCATTATAAAAATAAAATGCATTTATTTATTTGTTTGTTTGTTTGAAAAATTTTACAAATTTGTTTTGTTATATTATTATAAAATGAAAATATTAAATATTATTATTGTTTCTTCTAATACAGAAAAATAAAAATTGCGTGAAGATTTGCATGTAAAACGTTTCAAAAATAATTCAATAGTTAAATAATACGCAAATTTAATTGAAAGAAAAAAAAAGAGAAAATTAAATATTCTTACGATAAATTTATTTATTTATTTATTTAAAAATTATATTTAACTTGACAACCACGAATAAGATTTAGTTAACATTTTCTAATGACAAATTTAAATTATCTTGTTCATTCGTTCTTTTTACATTCGATCAATTCTTTCGGATGAGTTAATATGATAATTTTTTGTTAATTAGTTTAAAATATAGTTAAGCATTGGAAATATTTTGTTTTGTTTATTTATTTCTTTTTGTAATTTGTTTCAATATAGTCTAGTTTCTATTATTGCTAATATATTCTACCGAAGTATATAAATACGAAGAAACTTTTCAAATTATCATGAATATCATTTGACAGTCTTTGCACACACACACACAAAGTATTTCCCTAGAACCTTTAAACTCGGAACTAGATCGACGAAATTTTCCTCACTTTCTCGAGAATTCATCGTGGTCGCAATTCAAACACGCGTATACATAAATAACAGTTAATGCTCATCGAAATAGTTGCTTCTTATTCGGTGTTAATAAATAGAATCGAAATCATTGAAACGAATCGTGAAAAATCAAAATTTATTTTTCAAATAAAATATGGAATTTAAGTTGAAATAATGGTAAAATGAATTTTTTTTTTTGCGTAAATGAATCCATCATTTTTCACGATACTTTTAACTTTAATAAAAATCCAACTTATATTAAAAATTAAAAAAATTAAAAAATCGTATAAATTCAAGCACAAAATTAATCCTAATAACTAAAACTTTCTCTTAATTCACCTTAACTATATATATTATTTTAGAATAATATATAATCACGCGTATATAATATCATACCTATATTTAATTATTGAAATAAAACAGATACTCAAATTACCTTTTAACCACAGCAACCACACCATTTCATATTTCCAACTTTCGTCTAACCTTTTGCAACAAAATCCAACTAACCAGCCATATCCCCCCCCCCCAAAAAAAAAAAAAGAAAAGAAAAACAACCAATTAAATTATAAATAAATATATATATATTTAATTAAGTACCTACTGTTAACGAAGAGTTTCCTTTTGAAATTAACTCAAATTTCTCAATTAAGTTGAGTAATCAAATATACGTATAATCTAATATACCTAAATTAATTAAAGACGAAAGATACATAGTACAAGAGAAAGATAATCAGACAAATAGAGAGAAAGATAGAGATAGAGAGTGAAGTAGGTAATATCAGTTAAAGGTCAAAGACCTAGAGACGATATCGATACTTATCGGATGTCTTCTTCGCTTGTCGTCCAAATCGAAACGTGTAAGACAAGCTGGGCATATAGGGTTAGGCAAACAGGCTGCTAAAGGCCAAACACCGCCTAGCATCGTCCACAAAGGGACAAGGGAGTTCAGTCTGTGTGTTAGCTTCACTCCTTTCCATATCCCAGCCAGACCCTGAAGGCTTTCGAGGATACCCATAATGCATGAGATTGTCGACACAGCTAAAGAGAGACAGAGAGAGAGAAAGAGAAAGAGTGAGAGTAAAGGTAAGGTTGGGTGGTATGGGGTTGGGAGTTTAAGGGTGGTAAAGGGGGTGACCACGAGCTGGTACACAGAGAGTAGTACTTCAGTATAGTTGGACACACTCACTCACTCACTCGTCGTGTGTCGTGTTGAGTGAGGTGAGGTCAGAACAGTATCGATCTATCTTACTCTATTCGTTCACTTTCAAATTTAATCAAACGATCTTCGCGTGACTCCTTAAACGAGAGACATATTATATCATCGTTTAAATTCTTCCTTCTTTTTCTTATTCTTCTTGTTCTTATTTTGACAAAACATTTCTTGTTTGTTAGATATATTTATTTCTACATTGGTTCGTGTTCATTCATGAAGCAAATTGTTTTATACTTTATTTTAGTTAACTGTAAGAATTTATTTATTTAAATGGTATTATTAAAGTATTTCTTTTAAGTAACATTTAAGCAAATTGATCGCTACAATTGTTTAGTGTTTAATTAAAATGAAATATATTTTGTTTCAAAAGTAAATTTGAATGTTGATTTAAATATCTGTCGTTTTTCTTTTTTTATACATCAGAACTGACTTAATGTATTACTAGATTTAAATAAAATTTATTTCGAGTTTTGTATTAATAATGTTGAATTTAGCAATTTTCAATATTGATTTAGTTTGATTTTTCATTTCAATTGTTTATAACTCTATCGGTTAAAACTTACAAAATTTGATATTACCAATGAAATAACGAACAATAATATATTTGTTCGTTTCTTAAAATTAAGTGCTAAACGACTTATTAATAATAATATTCATCAAAGAAATTTTGTTTAATAATATTTCTTATGTTTTATAAAACATTGAATTATGACAGTGAATATTCGTCAAGAATACATATGAATTAAAATCGCAATTGGTGTAGATTTTCATAGAGATTCTTAAGATTGCATTTTAGAGGTTGATAATTTGATCGTGAATTACGAATTATTTGGAAGTAGAGTAGCCATTAGTTAAAACCTCTGTGTTAGGTTTAGCAGGAGTCAAACGATAAAGGATCCACGAAGTTGGAATAGAAGGAGAGTAAAGAGGAATATAAGAGGATAGGATGATGGTAAAGGTGTAAGAGGAGTAAGAGGAGTAAAAGGAGGAAGTGGGTGTGGATGTGGGTGTGGGTTTAGGTGTGGAGAACGAGGAGGAAGCGGAGAAAGTGGAGTGAAGGGACGTCGGCCGATCGTGAAAGCAATTTTAGCACCATCTCCGCAAGCTGCTCTTCTCTAATTTCCTCCTCGATCCTCTTCTTCGAATTCTCGATAAGAACTAGGAACGTTTGGCGTCCATTTAACGAATCATCACGCGTCTTTACCTTTTTTTTTCTTTATCTTTTTTTACTTCCGTTTTTTCTTTTTTTTCTTTTTTTTTACCTCTCTTTTTTTCACGAGCTTGATTGATTAAATATAATGGAAAAAAGTTAATAGGATTTATTAATATATATTTTTAATAAAGAAAAAATTGTAGATAGTATATTTTTCTTTTTATATATTTCATTTGAGTTATATATTATTATTGTTTTTTTTTTTATTCGTTGATATTAATATTTTAATAAGGGATTGTATATTTAAATTTTGGTGTCGCTTATGTTTCTTTATTTTCTACGTACCCATCTAGGATTTATTTCAATTTTTATTTATTCATTATAAATTTATCATTGTATCATTAACAATTTCAATGAAAAAAATATTCGATAAAAGTTAAATAATATAATCAAAAATATGATCGTTTGATTTATTGAAATTACATACAATATTATTCGATAAGTGGTTGTTTCGAAATTTCTTAAATCGCTTAACAAAAAATCGATTATTCTTTTTCAATTAATTTTTTAAACCATCAATTAAATATACTGTTTACATCACTTAAATATTTTTTAAATAAAAGGATTCATTGAAATTGCAACACAATAAATATAATACAATAATATTATTTTTAAATTTAAATAATGGAAATAAATTCTTCGTATATATATGTATATATGTATATATAAAAGTTTATTTTTGTTATTGGATCGATCCGTAATTTTTGCCACTCTTCTTAAATACAACGAAAAAGCTTTAGTTCTGTGTCAACATGCACAAAGGAACCACAGCCGTCAGGCACATAGCTCGTCAGAATCGAGGCTCGCTTATAATCGGAATTTGGAAACAATGCTGCCCAGTATCGAACCGTCTACGTCATAGCTCGATATATACACATACCCATATACACATATTTATACATATACACGTGTGCGATATTTAGAACTTCTTTCTTTCTTTGAAAACTACGATCATGCCAACCTTTTTTTCTTCTTTTTTTCAATTCTGCATTATTCAAACTAAAATCACGAAAAGACGCAATATATTTCTACTATATATATATATATATATATATATATATGTATGTGTGTGTATGTATATTTGATTTATTTTTCTTTCTTCTATTTCTTTTCTTTTTATTTTTATCTTAATGAATCTTTTTAATCACGAAATTATTCCTAGAGAGTTTTTATATAAAACATTCGTTTTTAATATATAAAATCAAGCAATAATAACAAATATATTAAATGGATTATACAATAATTCATTGATTATTTTTATTTTAATGTATACATATCTTTTACTTTTCTTTTTAAAATACTTATTACAATCTTTACTATACTCCTTTTTTACTTCAAAAAATAAAATTATATCTTATCTTATAATTGTATTATATTATATATGAACTTTTTGTTTATATTTTAATTTATCGAAAACACTTCAAAAGTTATGCTCATATATTTTGAAACATCTTGTATGTTGAATATATCATATGCATATATACGATCTTATACGTTGTAAGTAAATATACATATACAGAAGTTGTTTATATGTTTGGTAGGAGTGCAGGGGGGAATGGGGAAGGGGTATATACGAGGTAAACTTTACGAGAGGAACGATATCAATTTGGTTAACGACGGACCAAGAGTTTTCCTTTAACTCTAGCATAGCATAGCCATTGCATAGCCATAGCCATAGCATAGCATAGCATAGCATAACATAACATAGTATAGTAATAGTATAGCATAGCATAACTAGAAGCGTTATGTTGCTCATACATAGATAGAGACACACGTTTCTAAACTCATCCTTAACTTTCTCTATCTCTATGTCTATATCTATATCTATCTCTCTCTTTCTCTTTTCACAGAAGCTGCCATAACCAACACCACCACCACCACCATGTGATTTATCGTCTTACGTGCTCGGACGATCTCTCAGTCTACTTCTATCATCGTTTCACGTGATATCACAGACAACCCAACATACCCCCCCCCCTCCCTCCCCGCTTTCTTTCTCAGTTCAATCTCCCACTCACACCTTTATCCTGAAGGAAAGGAAAAGAAACACAACTGAACAACTGATTCGAAAAGATCGTCCTGAGATTGTACGTAAGTAAAATTAATTATCTGTATTATCAGCTTTTTTTATTTTTTTACTTCTTTTTTTTCTTTTTTTTTTCATTCGTTATTAATTATTTTCTGCTTCTTATTAAATAATTAAAAATACTTGTAAGTGTAATAATGCCGGTTGATTTAAAAAAAAAAAATTGTTAACGTTATTTGTCAAAATTATAATCGTATTTAATATATTTGTATATTTATATTTGAAATTTGATCTTTAAAAAGGATATTGTACGCATTTCTTTTTTTTTTTTTTTTACAAGAATTGAACAATATTTTTTTTTCTTTTTTTTATATCTTTTCTTTCTTTTAGTATTCTACTCGTCGTCTAACATTTCATTTTCATTTCATTGGAATATTCATGAACAGATTTAATTATTCGCCGTGTATTAACGTTATTAATATTATTACTGTAACTTCGTCTTCTTCGTTAAGGTTTTACGTTTAAATAAGAGTAGAATATTAAAAAATAATCTCCGGGGTAGGGAATGGAACATATATAAAGAGAAAAATAATATCACCTTTCTTATAAACAGACAGTAAACGATGTTTTACCTCTCACAGTTAGAAATAACTATATATATATAATTTTCTTTTTATACCGTTACCAAGCCAACCACGTTTTAACAAGCTCAGGGAAAATACCATGAGATTTTAAAGGGGTTATGAGTTCATTCGTCATAGTCCGTTGGTAACATCCACGATTTCGAACAATTCTCTCTCACGTTTTCCTTCTTCTTCTTCTTCATCTTTTTTTTCATTTTCCATCCAGGAAGAAGTGTATAAAGTACATATATATACGTGTACATATATTTTATATATACACACATATATGTATGTACATCCTTTCTAGATCTTTTTACTACTTTTCTATATTTTTACTTTCTTTAGACATTATTTAAGTTTATTGTGCTATTTCATATCTTCAAATTAAAATTAAAGGAAGATAAAAATTGTAAATTATTTTTTTTGTTTTTTAATACTAGAAATATATATTATTTATTTAATTTTTCTTAATATTAAAAATATATTGAAATTATATATAACTTATTTATATTTAAATAAATAAATAAATTTAAATAAATATGGTTATGGTTAATAATAATATAGTTAAATAAGTATATACGGTTTATTTAAATAAATAAATTGATATATGAATAACTTATTTATTTTAAAATATTTCTAATAAATGTATTTATAATATTTAATTTATAAATTAAAATATATGATTTATTTTTACTTAAATAAAAAAACCGAAATATTAAATAAAATATTTAAATTACAAATTAAATTATATA